ACAAAATCATAAAAAGTTTCTATCTGATAAAATAAAAACCATTTATCCAAGCCTCTTATGAAAGGCTAGATAGTGGATATTGATGTTTCTGATAGATGAAATGCTCCCAAACCAGCTCATCCTAATATGACTCATCAAGAGTGAGGCTTTATACAAACAAAAAGTTCCCTCAAGATTTAAACTTTCAACTGGATGATTAACTGATAAATCTAAAAATCCAGATTCTCAATTGAGACTGACTCCATACGGTCAAATTAATGAAGCAACAATTTCCTTGGGTGACTTGGAACATTACACTAGCATTTTGACAAAAATGCACTGGTGAAAGTAGTGATGCCTTTTCCATTATTCATTTAAACATTTTCACTAGCACTTGTTTTTTAGGAACTGCAGATAAAAGAAACATACCCCTACTTGGAGAATTAAAAGATGGTGTTCAAGAGAGCCGTACTCAAAACAATGAATTTACTTGTCTCATTAGTGTTCTGCAAATCCTTCTGTCTTTCCTATTTTTATCCATGTTGGCTACAAAGTCTTGACAGAATGCTTAGATACCCAGATGGATATTAATATGTTCAGTGAGATCAAGTATGTGAACAGCTGGCATTTTTTGTTTTGTTTGTGTATGTTTCTTTTTTTGTTTGATGCTTTTCATATCTTAAAGATATCAAAAGGTTATCTCTGGTAGTATTACAGGCCAGCAAGTTTACTAAGTTTGCGATCAAGGTGTTTGCGATCTCAGTGAAGAATATTTTGACCTTTCTGTGTTTTGTTTTACCAAAAAAAAGGATTGTGTTGATTAAGTTCCCTGTGTCCAGAAAGAAGTGGTGATGCATAAAATCGATGTATCACTCCTAAATGAAGACTAAGTTAAATATAATTTTTATATATAAAGATATCATTAGAAGGTAGGTTTATAGGTATCCACAGCTTCTCTTGGCAGCCTGTGCCAGGGCCTCACTGCCCTCTGAGTGAAGAATTTCTTCCTAAGATCTAACCTAGATCTCCCTTCTGTTAGTTTAAAGCCATTTTCCTTTGTCTTATCACTATCAGAGCATGTAAAATTTTGCTCTCCTTCCCATCTGTAAGCTCCCTTCATGTACTGGAAGGCTTCAGTGAGATCTCTCCGAATCTTCTCTTGTCCCAGTTAAACAAGCCAATTCTCTCAGTCTGTCTTTGTAGGAGAGGTGCTCCAGTCTGCTGATCATCTTCATGATCATCATCTTAAACATAAATTACATCAAAATCTAAGCTTGCTTTGGAGTTTTTCATATAAACTGTAGATTTCAAATTCATTTTAGATGGCAGGCAAAGTAGTCGTTGATCACAATTAAAGTATTTTTAGTATGCTCATAGTTAGTATCTCTGGCTTCTTTGAGAGTATTGCAATTCTGATTGTGCCCTGTGGGAATCTACATGCAAAGCCAAATTAGAAAAGCCATACATGCTAGCCAAACAACTAGCACAGCCTGTCACATTTGAGCTGTCTTTAAAATATTTTCTTCAATAAAGTCAGAGAAAGTGAGGGATAAATTTGTATGGGATTCAACTTGAAGTAATCACAAACTTAAGACATAGAGCTACCCTGTTTGTTCCAATTCTCATCATGACGATGCTTTAGTGAGTGAAGAAAAACTGAAATTCTTTAATAGAGATGTATTTGGCAGAGATGAATGTATAGGGGGATAGAATGTATAGGAATATAGAGACGAATGTATCTGAATATATTAGGAATATAGGTGTTTGCCTGATGTTTTAGACCTTCCAACCTAAATATCCCCTAACTGAGCCAGAATGTTGAGTGAAGACTGAACCTCTGAATATACAGCCACAAGCATATTTCAGTAGGATTACCTGTGGAAAACTTTCATTTCAGCATGCTCTGTGATAGGGAAGGGGAGCTTCCCCAGCGATGTTTCAGTTGCATTTGGGCTTTTAACAATTAAGGTGCTAAAGCACTTATCAGGGAACGGCCAATATGCTCCTAATTTACAGTTTGCCTTGTTTTCTTGTGATTTCTTTTTTATGTCCATAATCAACATTATCAAATTAAAATAAATATAGAAGGATAGAGGGAGAACAAGGAATGCATACTAAATAAGGTCTATTGTAACTCATAACAAGGTTATAATGTGAAGAACTGTTACCATATTCTGCAGTAGTCATTGCAGCTGCTTAGAGATCAGTATAAGACAGATAGAAGTAGATATACTTTTGCACAGCAGGTAGGGAATTTTTTTTTTTTAATTTATTGCCACAGAAGGCTGGGTTGACAGACAGCATAAGCAGATTCAGAAAGAAGTTAGAGAAATTCGTGGGCAACAGTCTAAATACTGCATAGATACTAAAGAGAGCAAGAGACGCACCATCCAGCACCCCTGATGGGGTGACTGCAGATGCCAGAGGAGCTTAGAGGGAATGGGCTACAGGCAGTCACCACACTCTCTTCCTTTCCCTAGGCAGCCACTCTAGTTGTTGCTGTCAGGAGCAGCACACTGGCCTGGCTGCTTGAGCATGTCTCATCTTCTTAACTCACTTCTGCCTGACTAATGAATTGTTTAGACCAGAGTGTCTCAAAGCTTCCCAGCAGCAAAGGCAAGATTTAATTTCGTGGCTGTGACAGCATTTCTGCTTTAGGCACCATCCTCCTGGAGAGTGGCGAGATGGAGTGAGGGCTGTGCCCAGCCACCGTGACGTGCTGACCATGGGCTGGCTGCCCAGGGATGGCTCTGCTGCTGCTGCTGAGCCAAAGGGGCTGGCTCTGTTAATTAACAGCTTCCCCACTGCTGCCAGAGTATGTACATCTGCTGCTCTAACTATTCTGTGTAGGACTGCAATTGGTATATTAAGATGTTGAAAAGCTCTGAATAATTTGGATCTAAGGATCCTTTTCCTAGTTATTTGTTATCCTATGGGTTTTACCCTAGGACATGCCATCTAAGTTCAATTTAAATTCTAAGTTTCTTATATTTCAACTACACAGTGGTTGCTTTAACAGGCCACTTACGAAGGTGATGGCTTACATTATAGCAGAAAAATTCCAGAATTTCCACTCTTGGGATTGCAGATTCACAGTACATGGGGAACAATGAGGAGTTTTCTTGAAAAATTGAACACATCCACCTTAGTGAATCAAAGCTAATCACACTGTAATAATGTGGGACAGTTCTTCTGCAACATTGTGGACATCTAGATTCCTTGCTAGTGTTAAGCAGAAAGGAGGCGTGTATCTTGTGTGCATGTGCATTTAGACTCAATGCTTGAAAGCACATTAAGAAGCACATATGACAAATTTACAGATAGGTAATCTTGGTTTAAAATTCCATGAGTGCTGTGATATTCCCTGACTAGGGAAGTGTTTGTCCCTCTGTACTTAGCACTGGTGAGACCATTCCTTTTCAAGAGAAATAAAATGCTGAGTGTTCCTACAAAATAGAAAACAAAGAAAATAGAAAATAAGACGCACAGCGGCAAGTTCCCTTCAGAAACCTTCACTTTGTTTATACGTTGTATTATTTAAAATATACTTATGTAGCTGGAGACATTAAAACTATTCTTCTGTGTGTAAGGCCACATTTTAAGAAAACATCTCTGCTTTGGTGTTTAGATTTAATTCTTAACACTCATATTTAATAATTAAATTAAGCAAATTAAGTATTTCTTCAGTAATACTAGCAGCTAACAAGACATTTGCTGACTTTATGAAAGAATTTTACATTTTATTATTTAGTCATAAAATTGAATACTTTTATAAGGAAAGTATTGTGTTACATTCTGCTACCATATAAGTTGCAAGTCTAGAACTGCAGTTGACTGAAGCTGCTTAAGTAGTGGACCCTAAAGAAAGGAACTGGCACTTGGGTTAAAAAGTACAAAGCTACCAGGTAGAAATAAATAAATATGAGTCTTCAGGCTGTGAATATATTGCTTTAATGACTAGTGTCTAAGGAGTTGAGATGCTTTATTTATCTAGGCCGAAATGGGATTCAGTAAGCCAGCTTTCTATTCCTAATAATGGACCAATATTTTTTTTATTTTCTTCATGTAAATTTGAGAGTGGATTTTGTTACATACAGGTAAGGACAGGTTACAAATAATCAATACTTACTGCTGTCTGTTAGGCAAATCTCTTGGGCTGCAGAGCTTCTTGGAAGTTTTTGGGAAAGAGTTAAGTATCTAATGTCAGTGGAAGATCTAGGGGAATCTATAAATATGATTGGTTCCCTTCTCTACTGTGTCCTTAACTTGGCTGGTGGTTATCAGTGCTTTGCCTCTGGTCTGATTTGGGGTGACCAGTTACAAGAGTTACAAACAAAAAGATTTCACTGAAGGGAAATGCAGGATTTTAATTCAAATCTTACATTGCTTGTGATAATGTTTGTAACAAGCAATTATTCAATGGAAGGATGCAGGATGGGTGAAGAAAGCAATGGGCTTTGTCAAAGTACAGCAACAGAAACCAATTTAGATTGTATGTAAGATGTGCTACTTTATGACTGAAATGCCTGCTTCAGAAAAAACACTCAGTACATTCAAGTACACTTGTGAATGTGAATAGTCTAAATAATTTAAGAATCCATTTGCAAACCACTTATATCTACCTCAGCCTGCTCACAGGATTTCTGATGCCTGTCAGCTGCACAGGACCACACTGCTCATGACACAGAAATGTTGCTTGCCAAATGTCTTGCTGAACTGTGTGCCCTGAAACCTCACAAGTGCTTTTAAAAAAATTGTTATTTTTTTATTTATTGGGGGAATGTTCCAATACTGTTCTGTTTCCCTCTTTGTTCCTCTCCTTTCCTGCCTGTTCCTTCCCTTTGGTTAGTAGTTTCCATCTGGTGGGTAGGTTGTAATAAGTTCTCACTATATCCAGTAACTCAAATTATAATTAGGTATTCTTTAGTGGCAGGGTATTACCCATTAGTCACTGTTTCTAATATGTGTTGTGTATACATGCTTCACGTATCTGAATAAAAGTCTCACCTTGGACCCAACAGGCCAGAACCAGTACTGTGGACAAAGGATGGTGGAGAACTACCAGATCCAGAGCGAATGGTTGTCAATGGCAGAGTCCTCAGCATCAGTTTCCTAAACAAAACAGACAATGGCACATATCGATGTGAAGCAAAAAACCCAATTGGCCGAAACAGCACAGAATATGTTCTGATAGTACATGGTAAGTGCATTCTCTGTAGCTCTTTGGCACATGTTAGACATTTGTAATGTTTGAGGAAAATTGGTTGCTTAGGATCATTAATGCAAGAATATCAGGAAAAAGCTAAAAGCGTAATTGCACTTCTATTGACATTATCCTCTAGTTATAGTGTGTGTTTTTATTTCCTTCTACCAGATGCCTCTCTTTGTAAAGTTTAAACAAAATGTATTCATTAATGTAAGCATCTGTAAAAATATTTTGCAGTATGTTGGGTACTGTTATGTTAAAAACTTGCCTCACACATAATGTATAGCTAAGGTGGTTACAGAAATACATATGAAGGGAAAATTGGAAATACAAGGCAAAATGCACTAGTTACAGCTTGCTACTGCTTATCATCATCAGCATCTGACTTATTTTTGTAATCAGTCCTCAAAAATATGTTCTGTACTAAATTCACAATCCATCTTCCAATGAAACTGATAAATCAGAAGGCTCCCATTAAATTACAATTTATTTATTTTCATTGTTTAATTAGGCAACAGTATGTGTCATGTTAAAAACCAGCAGGCTTTTATTTTAATCCTGAAATAGTTTGATATAACTCTGTTATAGGAGAAAATATAATAAAATGTTAGTATTTAACTTTAGTACGGCTTTATAGAGCAAATCTAGCAGTCTCAAAGTATAAAGTTTGTTTTATCACATATATATACTTATTAATTCCTAGAAAATGTTTGAATTTTAACCTAAGTGAATAAAGAGGTGAAAGCTCCGCTCTACTTTACCACGGTACTATTTCCCCCTACTTTTTACATGAAAGCAACTTTTTTTAGGCCTTGGATAAAGTAATGTCTTCCTTGCTTACCAAATAACAGAAATTTCTATCGTTTGTGTTTTGTACTCAATTTATTTATATGATAATTTTTGAAAACATAGCGTTTGGCAATAGTAGATTTTCCATCAGTGCTGACTTTGCAGTATACCCTCATCAAAGACTATTTTGCAATCTCCTATATTTCCTTCATGTAGTGGTATGCCCCCTGTTGATCTGATTATCTTGCAACAATTTCATGGCAATCTGTAAAGTTATTCATTACGAGGAAGGCATTCTGTTGTGTGGCAACACATTAGGCATGTTATCAGGTTTAGCTTGAACACTGCTGACCTTTTCTGTTATGAGTACTGTCGTTTTCCTAATTGCATTTCTTGAATTCTGGTGCTGAAACTGAAGAAGATAAATGTCAGGTGCTTCCTAGATTACTGTAACAATGAAAGTAGTGTGACAGAGTATGTGCTGGTGTTTAGTGCTTAACAACTTACTGCATTTCTGAGTTTTTTTATATTCATTTTAAATATGGAAGAGACTGACATAATTATTTTATGAATTGTACTACAATTGGTTGTATAGATCAATTTAGACAGTGTCTTATCCTTTCTTTAGTTCATTGGATTCCTCAATGTCCCTAGTGGAACCTAATCCTCTCAGAGCAATTCGTTATTATCATACTTGTTCTCTCTTCTTCTGTCTCTTTTTTTCTGCTAGCAAAACTACATTTTAGCTTTCCCTGAGATGCATTCTTCTTTTTAATAGAGGATATATTTTCTCTGTGTCTTCCAAAATGCATCTTGGAGCATCCTTTGATTTGCCGTCACTTCCCCTGTGTGTTCCCACTTGTAACTTTTTGGATCTGCTCCTTCTGATACGGCTGATGTATCATATGAACATGCCTTCCGATCACAAGTCTTTGGTATCTAATACAGGTACATGCCAGACATAAGGGGAGGTATATTTATAAAGATGTGGGGAATGAGGGGGAAGAAATCTACATGTAGAGAAAATATCTCTTCTTTGATGTTGCAAGTCAAGGAAGTAATGCCTAGGAAAAAGAGACCTAGCCCACTGCCCTTTATGAAACCTCTGAAAGTCCATTGCCACAGTGTTAAACAGCTAACAGATTTTTAGTATAATCTCCAGCCCAGAGGAAGTACGGTGATGGAGAGAAAGAATGATAATCACTTCCCTGAGTTTAGGGTGATACTGCCGCTGATTCACTTTTGCCAGGCAAGCTGGTGTGAGAAAGCAAGGGACATCAATGACTCTACAGGGTCAGAGAAGTGTAATCTGATTCATAACTTTTTTTTTTTTTTTACATCCAAATTGTGATTCCATCTACATTTTTTCCTCTTCTACAGCTTTTCTTTCTTCTGTTCATTAAGGGTTCAAAAGTTTCATTTGGCTTCTATTTCTTTTTTCCCCTATTTATTTCCTCTCAGTGAGACTTTGTGTACTAATTCCCTCAATTTCTGAAGTTATATCTTACAGTTATCTTCCTAACTCAGAACAGATTTAGACAGCTCTAGTATGGATAGAAGCTTACCTAAAAATGAAAGATGTCATTTATCGTAATTAGAGATAAAGAGTAAGGAAAATTTATATATATACTAAGAAAAGAGTGTGTCATGCCTTTGCCAACCTAGTCAAACTATTATAGAGAAAATTAATATTATTTCCACCGTAATGACAATGATGTAATAGTATTTTGATGTTAAATGATGGCAGTGGAAATATACATATTTAAAATACATAAAAAACATATTCCTATAAGCAGATAAATGGCAAGGTGTAATATAAATATCACCTGATAACATAAGAAAATCTTTTTTTTAGATTTGTATTTTAATTAAAGAAATCAAAGAAAATGAATGTGTTTAAATAAGGTAAAAGGCATTGACTATTAAGCATACTCATGCTGCTTTGCTGAATCAACACAGCTGCTACTTTTTCTTAACTTCAGTTCTTAATAATAAATGTCAAGAAAACATTTCAAGAAGAGGGAAAGTGGGCACAAATTCAGAGTTTATAGGCAGCGGTGCAAAGGCAAGATGTGGTATGCTAAAACACTTGTCTCTTGCAGTAACAAAGGCACATGCTTTAATGCCTGTAGCTGTTGTCATTTTTGTATTCTAATTGTTAAGCTTAGTGCTTTAGAAGTGTGCATTCTGGTTAGGTACATCACATCCTTCCTTTGGCAATAGGCTGCTGGCAATTTTCACTCTTTTTTTAATTTATTAAGATTTTTTTTTGTCCAAATATAGTCATTAATCATCAGTAAACAGAGCTAGCTCTGAGTCTCATGGTGCTCAGCTCAAAAACATAGATTCTACTGGCAAAGCTTAGGTAATATGTGCAGTGATATAGACAGAGTTGAGAGAGAGTGTGGTCCATCACGGTCAAACTGAAGAAACAGCTGCTGTGTATGTAACTCGTGACCTCTGGATATTGAAAGCCTAGTTCAGCACTGTAGTGAGTAGGTGACAGAAGTCCACATCACTGAGAGATATTCTTAGTGGGAGGGGCAGCATTTGATAACACTTGATGAGACCTGTTTGAAATAAGCTACCTGGGGTGAAATGTCCTAATTTACTAATTTAAAGCCATGTATTCCATCAAGAGAAATACTAAGAGCAATAATGTGGCATACATCAATGGTCTACCAAAGAAATATAGTAACTGACATGAATAAGCTGCTGTGGGTGGTCAGTTATATAATAGAAAAAAGATTGAGCCAGAAACTCAGTATTTCTGCAGAATAAGAAGTGGCTTAGCATATTCCCTTGACTTCAGACTCTAAATTTTATTTTTATTTTTTTGGGACAAAATATTTTTCTGCAAATAAAGGCAACTGAGTTACTGAGTTATATTGTTAATATTTTGAAACATAATTTCAAACATAAAATCTCCTACAATATGCTGATCCAAAGGTTTCCCTCCACCTCTCCTCTGGACAGTGAGTATTTCTCTTCCATGTGCATGTCCAGTCCTATTTCAAAACATTTATCATCTTGGCTTTTTACAGTAACCTGTGGCAACAAGTTTCTGAATTGAATTATGGCTTTTGAGGGAAATGATCTCTTCTGTTTGTTTAAACCTGTTGGCTGAGCTCCTCATTTCTTAACTTTCCAAACTACTTGGCATCTTTTGTTGTTTGTTCTGTAAGTACTGGAAATGCCACTGTGATGGCTGATCACGTTTGCATTCTGATGGTGTTTTCTCATCTTTCTTTCCATCACCTCCATTCCTTCCTTCAAATCCAGTACACTTCCTGTTATAAAGTATGAAGCCACCAATAATTATAGCACTTTGAACTTCTTTTCCTATGCAAGTTTCTTTTCAGATTAGTAAAAACTGTGGAATCCAAAGCACATATGAAATCAAATTCCAAAACATCTATCAGCTCTAAACTCCTTTATATTTTGCCCACTATCATGTTTATTACATTTTATTTCTGTTTTGAAGTTATCATAGAAGCCCCTCCCTTTATTTACATAACTCAGTTGTGCACATCTCTTGCTCTGGAAGTAAATACTGAGTCTGAAGTAATTTGGAGTCTGTCTGAGGAGGAACTACTTTTTTTCCTTTTCTTTGAAAACTGAAGATGTCAGACCATAGATCTCCTGCTTTGCGAATATTTTCACTGCAAGCCTCTAATAAACCTTGTAGAGTTTTTGGACACCTTTTTCTCATAAACATGTTTAAAAAAACAAATAAATAAATAAAATTCAGTGCATAGTAGAGAGAGGTGGGAAGGACAGAAAAGAATGGGACACATCCATATGGAGCAGCAGGCTCAAAATTAAACTAGTTGTTCTCCATTTTGGTGTCAAGATTCTAGATACTGAGGTGGCTGGACATTTTCTAAAGTTGCTTTCTTTATGATTCCTGAGATGAAACATCTCACAGAAACAGTGAAGAGACTTTCCTTGCCTGTGGGAAAATCCTACCCTTTGACTGAACAAAGCTTGTGCTTCTGAAAAGAGAATTGAGCAGACTTGTGATGTAATGGAGCAATAATAACCTGTAAAGCTACAATAGAGAGTGTTTTTACTAAAAACTGACTCTACTCCCACAGCAATCAAGGCGTATCAAGAAAATGGGTCTCAAAAGACCACTTAAGACTTCATTTGAAATTCTGTGCATGTGAATATCTATACTTTTTAGTTTTGAGATTTTTTTATCT